CCAATCGGGACGGGGACAGAAATGTCGTATGTCGCTCTTCAAGAGTACGTTCCAGGGTGGGCGCTTCTTAGGTATAGAAATGTATTCGATTCCAAACCAGAAGGTGGATTTAGAGAACTAGGTTCTGTCTGGTCGAAGAGCGATAAAACATCCAATTATTGAGAGAGTTCAATCACTTTCTTTTGTTTGTTTCTGTATCAGTCTGACTGGAGAATTGAATTGAATTCGTAACGGATAATCTGCGTAATCCAGGAAAATATTGGTCGATATGGCATTCATGTGCAGGTGGATAATTATAAGAGTAAATGATTTATTAACCAATTTTCACTATAGTTTGAAACATTATTACATATAGCAAATAAAATGTCGACACTCAGACGTTATGAGCAGTGGGTCAGTCGAAACGTTTGGAGAAAAGATTTAGAACCGGGAAAATGGCTTCTTCCCCACATCCTTAAGTGACAGGGAACCAAGATGCATCCAGTTTGGACGTATTGTTGCTCGGAGAATCTTTGGGCTATTCGTCAACCGTACGCCATATGTAGAATAGTTCTTAATCTGAGCTTCGTTAAACAGCCTGATGTCAATCGCAGCTAAAATAATATTTCTTAGATATGCACTGTTAAGGGAACCCTTTTTGGTCATGTGCACCGAGATGGGAAGTCACCTGCAAGTGATGGACTTGAAAGTATACCACACCTGTTTTTTTTTCAATGTAAGCCATTTCGCTTCGTGCAGAGAGGAAACATATCGACTTTTAGCATTGAGGTCGTGAATAACTTTACCCTCAGCCATCATTTTGCGAGCGACAGAACATGTAGCATGGGGAAAAATTGAAGAAAATATATATTGTAAGTCTTAACCAACAACTAACCTTGTTCATTCTCAGGAGAAATCTCACGAAAGGAAGACATCTGCGCAGATTATAGGCAGTCCTACTGATGTATGGTATAACAATTTCTATACATTTACGGAAAGCTGACTCGGATGGGTATTATAAACCACCGCTTCAAAGCAGATGGTTTAAAAACTGCAAAATTCTTGCTTACAAATTGATGAGTTCCACAACGAGGGAAGAAACTTAATATGCACTTCAAAATGTCCCAGTTTGCATTTATGTATTAAAGAGGAGCTTTTGTCGAAGGTTGACAAACGTTTAAGACAATCATGAGCTCGGTCTGATGCAAAATGCCTTATTCCAAATTTAATGACACTACAAGCTAATTGACATGGAATGTGGCTGTTCGTCCGTCTATTGTATACGACTGCCTTTTTTGCCTCAAACACTGCTTCTATATGCACTACCAAAAGTTGGTATTTTTAAGCAAAAGTGCAATCATTTATTCACCGAAGCCTTGAAGAATAAAATTCTGAATGCTATCTATGGAAAACAAAACAAAAACGGACGAAATTCAGATTGAAAATCATTCATTGCGTTCAATCCATAAAGAAATCACAATAATCATTAGCTTACTACCTCGTCTATGTTTTTAGAGGATACATTTGTGCGGTCAAATTCAGGCACTGGTTAAAGTTCATTAACAGTTGTCTAGCAAAAAATGATGGTGGTGGCGCAATTCGAGCTGACAACTGTGAGTTGCTGGTTTACCACCGCCTCCCATTTAACTGGGTATGGTTTTAAGGTATTTTACGTTTTCCAATAACTATTTTTAAAACTCCCCGATATTCTATCCAATCGGGTTTGTGTGATGGAAACAGTACTACGTGATATCAAATTACACGAAGTGCTATGTTCGAATTTTCGATATCTTATTTCTGCTACAGAATGTTTGGAGGTTGGTTCGAAAATGTACCATCAAATCAATAGTACTCTTTCATGTTTTGATTGTGATAACATTCACACTGATTGGAATGGCCGAATACATGGACTGGAATAAAAAGCGAATCAACTTACACATATTCACTTCCCGCTTGATGCATTGAAGTTGTGGCCTGATTCGGCTGAGGATCTTCTGATTCCTTGGTTATTGCGAAACAGAAAACGAAACAGAAAATTTAATGCATGCATAATAAATTGAAGACGGGTTTTTGCGTCCCGCAACTCGCGTTTGATTCTCGGCTACAGTCATCCAGCGATGATACACGCATTTGAGGTTTCCATAGGGCCTTTAAAACCAATCAAAAGCTTGCAACCATTTAAATCAATCTGTACTGGTCAGCTCTAAAGCTATTTTCTTTCGTACCGATATTTTTTCTTTCAGGAATACAATTAACATGTGAACAATCTAAAAACAAAGAAATGCTGTTAATTTCAAGTGAGCAATGGAGGATTGGATTCAATTTCAAAGATGAATTCGTCGTGTACATAGCAAATGAAGCGCGAACTGAAAAGCCAGGAAGCACTGGACAGCTGTTTCGAACTGGTTGGTTCTCATCAGCAGTGCGAATCTATCGACCCAATTGGGGATAGAACACGGGACCTCATCGGTAGAACCCAGAACGCACTGCTGATGAGACCCAATCAGGTCGAAACAGCTATCCAGTGCGTCCTAGTTTTTCGGTCCACGCTTCATTTGCCGTATATACAACGACTTCACCTTTGAAACATTGTTGATTTGCCATTGACCTTATAATTAGTGGGCTGCCTGACCAGAGGTGGTTATCTAAAAACGTATTATATCTGTTGCCTATTGAATCAAACCATTATTATTGGTTACGCCTCAGCGCTTTTTCGACATGTTCCGTGGTTGTGCAAACATAGGAAATGCAAACTAATTTCCATGTTGTAGGGTCTGGAATAGTTCTTGAATGGCCTTCGGAAATAAGCTCTTTTCTCGTCCATCGATGTTGTTACATAGATCACTGACTAGCCATGGACGATAAATATAAAGTTCACAACTTGCTGCGATTTACATAGACAATCCAATGCATGCCTTCAAATAGAGTCACGTCAAGTCGATAACAGGTTTATACACCCACCAGTGCTGTTCAAAAGTATACAAATTCTTGAGTAAACGTTTCTAACTTTTCTAAGAGATTGTTAACTCATGCTTTCCAGTTTCCATTTTTAACCTGTTGCGCTTAAAGATATTGACCATAGAGCCCATTGTGAGGGGAATAGTCGTTAAATCGATCAGTTGGTTTCTCTATTTGATGAGTTGATCGACCAACTGAGTGGTAGAAAAGACGTGATTTGAGGAGACAAGTGTGATGAGATAATTACTTTAACGGTCTGCCTCCTAAATTGATAAGATGATCTTAAGTGAAGTCAACATTTTATGAACGGAGAACTGCAGGGCATGATTCATATTTCGCAATTAAATCTCCGGCTTGGGAATGCGCATATTGATCGATTGGACCGACGCTGCAATTTGGTATGAGGACGGTTTTATACAGTGATGTGGCATTCGATAAGCTATATAAACAAACCTCTTCATTTCAACCAAATGCCTTCATTGGCATGGATAGGGAGTGACAAAACTGTAGGTTGAACAATTCACCCAAGTTAACCTCAATATGGTTGCTAACAATAGAAACATTCCTAAGGTTTGGATCACTAGATCGATTAGTTTCATCAAATTTATCGTTAATTGTGGATCAGAATTGGAATCCTACCCTTTTGAGGAATCATGCGGGCTCATTTGGGATCTTAGTGACAAAAAATACGGAAATGACTTCATATCTACCNTATCTACCTGAGAAGAAAGTGATGTAATCGAACATCAGGTCTCGGTGAAATCTTTGAGTTAGAATGGTCAAAAATAGTTTTGGACAACATTTTAGTTGCTTTGAGGCGCTAAGTTATCGCTTGATCTACATAGACGCTCTTCTATGTTTTGCAACTTGCGCTAATAAGCGGGAGAAATTGAAGTGATACAATGATTTCAATGTTCCAATGAATGGTCTAATTAGCTCAATCTCCTTAGTTTACTCGATCGCTGCTTTCGGCTGTTTTCTCCGTTCGCGGTCGATTTCTTGAGACAGTCGACATCAAATGAAAAAACAGACGAACAACGTCATCGCGGGACATACCGCGGCACCGTAGACTAAACCTTCAGGAGAACGATTGATAACATGTCGGCCTCACAAATGACTCAGGCCGATGAAGCTGCAGTGAGCCTTCCATATTAAGAGAAACCTTCTCACTGTTGTTTTCGTTAGATACAGAGCAGCGTGCAAGAAGTTACTGGTCATAATTTACAATTTCCCACACAAGAGGAAGCCTAACACGGACTCATGTGAAATCTCATTGTATTGCGTGGCGCCCCACCTCAGCCAAATAAAAATTTAAAAAACCATTTTTGGCATAAATTTTCGGAGTTCATTGTAGCAGTTATCGATGGCTACTGGTCCGCAAACTGCTTCCATGTGTTTGTTTTAAAACCTATGTTTTCAAAACTGATGTCTCTTTTTTGTGGAAATCGCCAACAGTGATATAGTTAGGTAGAATATCTTTGAAGAGTTTCATTGGAAACAGAGAAAGAAAACAAAAGCTTTGCTAACACAACACTTATCACAAGTGAGGAGGAAACTTTGGTTAAAACTTGATACATTACCTCGCCGGAACGCACTATAAAGAGGTTACTCGTGAACTGGGCACTTAATTGATTGATTGATTGATTGTTTCGCAGAGGTGAAGAACACAAAATCTGTNNGGGTGTGATAGCGTGCCGAAGCGTGAACCAGAAAAAGAACCAGAACCAAACGCAAAGAGTACGATTGTGTCCTGTATGTGTTAATCCAGAAAGCGTTTTCTAAATTGCTCATTGCGTAATGATCATATTGAAAATGCCATTAATTAATCCTCGTATTTTTCAAAGATCATTACCTCTTGCTCAAGTACCAGTTGCGACGCTTCCTCAGGAGGTATTGAAACCGAATGACCTTCTTCGATATTGAAAAGCGTTTGCGGAAGATCCATAGAAGGCTTTGCGATGGGACCTTCCAAAAGTTCCGTACCTAGAGAATACAGATAGACGTTCTCTTTTTTGAAATAACTAAATGGATCATTTTACGCATTACTTTACTAATTCAAGTGTAAACCAGCGATTATAAATTGAGAAACTAAAAAGAAAAAGGAAAATCTATTATGCAGACCAATGAAATTTAGTTTAAAAAGACAAATTAAAAAATTTCATAGCACAAACCACCAGTATAGATAATAGCAAACAGTTATGTGTGTGTTGGTTTGCATTACATAATAAAGTAAAGTCTACAATTTTTTAATTTCGCAAACACTTTATGCTGTTTGGGTCTGTTTGTGATATGCTGTTCGAAAGGTTTATAGCTTATTTGAAAACTGATCACTATTTTGAGAAGGCAACCGTGACTGCTATTTTCCTTATCACCAGCGGTGAGCATCGCACTGTAACCAATTAGAGAACTTAGATGGTGAATGTTTGGATTAACCCATTCGGTTTTTCACAGGCACCAGGCACCGCTGACAAGTCCCAAACAGGAGAAAACAGCTGTCCAGTTCTCTTTGTTAGTTATCACAAACACTTCCACCACAATAAGAGAACTGTTCACTCACCCTCTTGGTTTTCACGGAGTGTAAAATTTAACCGATGGCTTTGTGCGTAAAATTATGCAAGTGAATATTGATCTGTAATGATGCAAACCAGTCCTCTCCACACCATTACGCATAAACGCCTCCGGTAGGATCACTGCCGGTGCACGTGGAACAATACAAGTTAGACAAACATGTATCAGGGATTCTACCGAAAAGAGCATTTGAAATGGCTTGCGCTTGTGCGTTTAGTTTAAACAACACGATGATCCTGACTGATAATACTGGATTGGTATCAGTTATGAAATTTGTACATTTCCCTGCTGGACAAATGTGTAGAAATCGTTCATGTTATGCAATGTTGGAAAGATCAGGAATTTCGGTTGAGTTACAATATACCCCTCGGAATTGCCTACGCTACAGTACAATGTAAGCGATAATTCACCAGTAAGATGCATGGACCAACATACGTGATCACTGCAAATTCGTGAAGGAAATAATCATCCGGGGTTCAGGTGTTTAAAAGACGGGTTGAGAGATTCCCCCATACACTTAGCTGTCGCGTAACAATCACAGAACCTGTAGTGTGCCTCGAGGGAAACCTTTTTCGGTCATTTACATACATGCATACATAAATACATGCATATATATACAAATATATGTAAAATGTCATCTGGCAATAGGCTTCTTTTCACTGGAATTTAACGGCATGCTTTTTATCGACGAGGTTCCGGTAATTATATCAAAGTGACTCAAGGGTAGACAAGTGGGTAATAGCTTATATTCCAGGCGCGTGTATTTATTTATGAATGCACGATGAACGTTCGTTTTCGTTCTCTTGTTCCCTTAGTGATATATAAATCTCAATATTTGATAACTTCGAATGATGCAAAAATGAGGCTACTGAACAACGAGAAATAGCCCAACGATGATAGGGATTTTTGTAATACGGTGAAATGTTGTACTTGATTTCTAAATTCCTTCATTGGTTATCATGGGGGATATTAAAAAGGTTCTTGACACTCACTCGTACTTTCATCTGTGGTGCATCCAGTCTTACGATCTGACCAATGCAACTCGACTTTGAGCTGGAGTTCATCAGTATCATTCTTCCTCTCGAATTCTGAAGCACCCTTTAGAATAACGGGTAAATGGTAGATGCGACTCTGCAAATCCTCCCCCGTCGATTTTGAACTTAGATCCACAATAGTCTTTAATGAATTGAAACAAAGGTGCATGTTGAGGAAGTTAACATAGAGATAAGGCGTTAAACTTGGTGACTGAAATGGTTGTCAGTTCTAACTCNAAAATTATATTACATTCTAAAAGAATCTTAGTTGGGATATGCATGTTCAAGAGTGTCTATCAGCCATTGCATGATGTAAATTGAATAAGTGGACAACAACTTATATACAAAGCTTTCCATGTTATTTCCCATTGCGATAAATCCACAAGTCGATGTCCGGACGAGGATACTTAGTTATTATGGATAACGATCAGGGTATTGGTAAATTAGCGTACATATAACAAAATGTCTCATTTGGAATGAACCTTACGAATTCCCACAGGCACACAAGATGCTGATGTAACGGTCCACTATTTGGTGCGCATTCTTGTAGTTCCCATACTGAACACAGCGATCTTTTCAAGCAAAACTTGTTCATTTTTGACCATTGAAAGAAACCACCCATTGCTTTCTTTCGCGAACTACTCACAAATGTGAGTAGTACCTCACAATCGCTCTTAGCCAATCAAATTATTGCCACCTACCAATGAATTCTTCGGTATCTTGGTGATGGGATTTCATTTAGACTTTCCAAAACTATCTCAGTGGAAATGGGTAGATAACGGGGTGTTGGATTTGTGCCACGTTCATCAAAAGTTCAAAACGGATTTGGTAGACCTGATGGTATTTTTAGAAATATCATCCTCGCCCATTGTCTGATTCTAGTTTGGACCCAGATTTCACCAGCAACTCAGGATAAATCTGTTTAAGGTACAGAGTGGCGGGAAAAATCGGAATGAGTATTCTAATTCGTTCACTCACACCAAGGAAGACGAATGTGAATAACGGAAAGTAGTAGACCCGCTAAGAGTCTGTTGCTCATGGTCTGAGACTCAAACCGTAGCAACTCAGATATCGTGTTTCGTTCCATCAAGAAAATTCCAATTGGTGTCTAAACCAGTCAGAAATAATAATCCTTCTCACATCACTTACCCCGAGGATCTATTATCATATACGATTCCAATTTAACTGAAAATTTATGTGTTTCACGTTGACGCAGGTATTTGTTGCGGGACAGGAAGTGAGGGAATTTCTAAAACTTGTCAGGCGATTTCAGACAGTTGTAGCTTTCTTAAACCTATATCTTCAATAATTTATGTTAAATATTGCACTTTAAAAGTTTAATAATCTGTCTCAGTACCGTATGATCTCAGTGAAAGAATACGGATCGGAATCGAAAACGACACAAAACTATCCCAAAATTGCGCATTTGAATAGCTTTTCAGGTAAGTTTACCTGATCTTTCAAAGTTGCATAACCAAATGTAAGGTTTTCTCGTGCATCCTGAACTTCGATCTCTATACCTTCGTAATAAGCGTTCGGTTGACATGTAAAGCAGAGGTTTGCCGTACTATAAAGAAGAGATATTAAAGAAGCATTATGTGGATATAGTGCATTTAATGTAAATTAAATTCTTTCTCATTTGACCTATTTAGACTTCACAGGATCAAGTTAAAAATAGACTATGGGTGTGCAAACATCGCATTGCAATAACTTGGTAGTGTAATCGGAAAAGTAGTGCCGAAATGAGCTCCAATGATTTTTAAATGATCGTGTTCACCCAATGGAGCGCTGAAAGTTCACCTAGGGGAGTTGGCCAAAAACCCTAATTCCAGACCAACCAATGGGAGGCGTACGAATCATACCCACACCTTTTCGGTTGTTGCAGTGGTCACCGGTTCGATTGGGCATCGAGGTGTTTCGGGCACCTTGGACGTTTAATCCCGTCCGAAGGGCGTATGATCCGATGAACTGGGCACCTGCACCGGATTGCGGTTTTCGCACACCGCCGCGCTGCCTTGCGGGTCAAGCTTTGGCTAACCAAAGGCTCCGGTTGTGAATTCCCCAAGAAAATTCACCTACCTTGGTCTGGGCAACCTGAGAGTATTACGCCCACATGCAGACCATGGAACGTTTTTCTTTTTTATAAAGATTATTGTACCATTAGTTCTTCGGCAAAATCTGGATTCCGACGTGTGTGAAAATATAAATATAATATATAACCTATGCTTCCCATTTGAAACTTAATTTGTTTGTAACCGCAGAAGAGTATCTCCATTGTTGAAATCATTTAGAAGACAGAAGAAACGATCGTACAAATCTAGAGACTCAGCGGCTGTCAACTTGATCAAAGCTGAAGTAAAACGCATCGCTGCGTTGTACATCTCCCAGCTCCTGCAATGTAACAACAGTAAGCGAATTTGGCAAGGTATCAAATTGCTGTGTGGGAACAAATCCAAAACGCCGGATTGTACAACGAATTTGGACAGTGTTAATGCAGCATTTATCCACCCATCAAGCGATGCGATCACGGCATTTGTTCTGGACGGTGACATTTAAGTAGAGGCCGTCTAGAAAGAAGAAACCTTTGAGCTTTTGCGTACCGTGAAAACCACGTGCAGTATTGGTCCCGATGATCTTTCGTCTTCCCTTCTGGGATCCGGGGCCTATTCTCTCAGTGAAATTTTCACATCATTTTCGAGCAATTCCTTAAAAACCTGCTTTATACCAGACTGTTGGAAACCAGTAACAATTGTTCCCATTCCCAAATCCTCTACTTCAAACTTTCTGACCAAACGCTTTCGTCCTATCACTTTAACCTCTGTTGGACTTAATGTAGCAGAACATGTTGTTCTTAGGCACATTTAGTCCTCCATTGATGTCCCCTGTGCTCCTCTTCAGTTTGCTTATAAACCAAACAGATACACGCTATATGCAGTTTCCTCACTTTTACATAAAATTATCAAATCATTGAATGACTCTGCGAAATCTATCTGTTGTATGTTTCTGGACTACTCATCTGCTTTTGATTCTATTCCTGGTTCCCTTCTTCTTCGTAAACTGGAGACCTTTGGTTATCCTAGACAGTTAGCTTGGTTAGCCGATTACTTCTCCGGGAGAACTCAGTGTATCAGGTTAGATCGAAAGAAGTCCAAACCGTTGTTAAACAGTTCTGGAGTACTCCAAGGTGCAGTTCTTCCCCCATACTTATTTTCTACGTATATTAGTGACTTGTCTGCTAGCGCCCCTACTTCTCTCTTCAAATATGCTGACGATGTGATTTTGTGTCGGGCCATCTCCCACTCTTCTGGTCTTTCACAATTTTCCGACAACTCGAATAACATTCAACGATTTTCCGCCACATCTGACCTATCCCTTAATTTGTAAACTTCGTCAGTTTTGTATTCAACAATCAATTATTTCCAAATTTGTATACCGGTGTGTTTTCCCTGTTTTACTTTGTTGTTCACCTGTTATTTTTTCCAATCTCCTTAAGAAAGATTTTAAACTGATTCGACGTGGACTAACCATCATTAGCCGTGTCTCAACAATCCCGTTGAAGGAGTTGGTAACTGACCCATGCGAACGCCATTGGAATGCGTGTGAAAAGTTTGCACATGAGATTCTCACCGACTCCACACATCCGCTACATGCCGATCTAACTTCCTGTTGTTCCCATCCTTCAAGTAGATAACAATATCGTTGTGTTCCCCCTCGAATAAACATATATCGTAACTCTACAGTACCGTCATTAGCATGTATTCTAGTTAACAGAGAACAGGTTTTCACTGACTTTGTTAACGGTTTTGGGATTTAAATCTCTGTTTTGCATTATTCCTTTTCCTCTTCGCTCCACCCTGTATATTTTTGAATGAAATGTAGGATTCATGCCTGCAGAGGTTATTACAATACAATACAATGCAACACTGTAAACCGGCTCAAGCAAATCCCAATTCATGTGACTGCACGCATTGGATAATTCTAAACTGGTCCTGACCGGACACAAGTATGTCCGTTAAAATAACTTCGCTGTTTGAGGTTGAAATAAAGGTCTCTACTCATCCAGTTTTGGGAAACGAGGGAATAAAAATATTCCGCTGATCGATATTATGAAGTGAGTTGAAATGTCAAAGAATAATAGTGACATTCGTCCAACGCACGCCAAAGGAGGTGTGTAGTACTTGCTTTTCATTTGTGTTTCGTACAATGCCCAAGGTCAGTTACGCGCCAGTCAAAAAACGCGCGCCGTACGTCACACGCGACACGGAGAACATTTGGAAAAATGGGAGTAATGGAGTGGGGGAAATGCATAGAAGCTATACGCGAATAGTCAAATACCATTCATACACAAGAATACTTCGTTATCTTTGTTTTGCTCAAAAATTGGTTAAAGTGGTTCTTGTAGAAGTTTGTGCGTGCTGAAATGTGCCGAATATCACAGTCCTTGTAGAATAAAGATCACGAAAAGAAACATATAGTTCACGATATAGGAAATGTGAAGCTTCAAGATGTATTCCAGAAGTTGATCGAGGGACCTTTTTTTGATCAAATCGCCAAGCAGATTTAGACAATCGCGACCGATGAGGAACAGCCACTTGCGTGAAATCACAGAATTTTTCCTCTAGAAAATTGGGAACGCAAAATAATAGCATTTGTTGTATTTGGGAAAACAATCCAAATAGTAAATAAATATTTTCCACTAGATACAACAATGTGTGAGTATGTGGATCCAGGCAAATAAACGTCTTTATTTGCCTAGATGACTTGAATGGAAAACCATTTAAAGATTACTTCTGTCACAACTCACGGGTGTTAAATACAGTTATTTAAGAGTGAAGGCTTGCCAGTCATACCCCAATTGTAAATAGTTATCTCAGTGTTCGAATACTACATAATTTGAATGACTTTACTGAAGTGTGACCACCTCGTATTTCGGTTGTGTAACTACACTTTGCATGAAAGAATCACTTCTTGCCAAGAGCATTTTGAAAAGATATATCCTGTGATAGCTATTGCTTGATTTTCGACCAGGTTTAACACTGAGATCCCTGTCAAATTGGGAATAGACAACCCCAAAATGGATTTGCTGGTGTCTGGGGAATATACACTTAATAGATAGGAAAAACCTCCAATTGATGCACAGAATTAACTTTTGCAAACGATCTGAAATTA